GTTCATTGGTCAAATTCTATCACATGCACCAAATGTATTCAAGAATATTCTGTGCTCTTTGGCATCTCCAGTGGAAGGTCATTCAAAGGACAAACTCCCTTCCACTGAGCATGCTCAGTCACTGGGGTCATATAAGCCTGTGTAAATTCCTTTTACTGACCATGCTCAACTACTGGATTTGCATAAATCCACTCCTTGTGGTCTCAATCTCCCCTCCTTAGTACTGAAAATAGGTGTAATAAGCAACAGTAACTCTCCTGTAGGGGAGGGCCTAGAGGAGGAGTATGAGACCTTGGGGAGTAGCTTTAAACTCAGAGGTGTCCTGGAACCCCAATGCGGGGAAACTGAGCACTTATCTCAGTATACCATTGTTTTACTTTGCATTTTTCTGATTTTCAATGAGTTCAAACACCTCTTGAAATTCTTATTAGTCATCTGGATTTCAGTTTCTGTGAATTGTCCATATTTTTGCCAACTTTTTCATTTTTGTTTTTGATTTTTTAGGAGTTTCTTGTATATTCTACATATTAGTCCTTTGTTGCTTCCCTGTTGAAAATATCTTCTCCCAATTTTAGATTTTACTGTTAACTTTGTCAGTGGTCTTCACTTGCTGAACTCCATTTGCTCTAATATTTGTCGGTTTATTCTATTGAGTTTTCTATATAGATGATCATCAGCACATAGTGACAGTTTTATACGTATATATATGTAGAGGGGTTTGTGTGTGTGTGTGTGTGTATATTTTTTGCAGCTGGCCAGTATGGGGATCCAAACCCTTGACCTTGGTGTTACAAGGCAACACTCTAACAAACTGAGCTAACTGGCCAGCCCCGTGACAGTTTTATTTCTTCTGTTTAATCATTCCAATTTGTAATTTCTTTTTTTTTTTTTTTTAAAAGATGACCGGTAAGGGGATCTTAACCCTCGACTTGGTGTTGTCAGCACCACGCTCAGCCAGTGAGCGAACCGGCCATCCCTATATGGGATCCGAACCCGTGGCCTTGGTGTTATCAGCACCGCACTCTACCGAGTGAGCCACAGGCTGGCCCTGTAATTTCCTTTTATTATAACATTGGTAAAGATCTCTTGTACCATACTAAACAGTAGCAGTGATAAGGAGGATCCTTGATGTATTTCGGATCTTAAAGGGAGTATTTTTAAGGTCATCCTCCCAATTAGACCAACCTTGACCACCTTACTTAAAATAAATATCCTCCACAGACACGTACATACATCATGATACCCCTACCAGCCTCAACATTTTTTCCTTAGTAATTATTACCTCCTAATATGCTATATAATTTACTTATTTTATATATACCATCTATTTTCTCCAATAGATATAAGTTCCATGAAGGCAAGAGTGTTTGTTTTGTTCATTAATATACACTAAACACATAGAGGAATGCTTGGTACATATTAGACACTCAATGAATATTTGCTGAAATAATTTTCTCCACTAAGTATGGTGTTTATTATAGATTTATGATATATAGCTTTTATAGGTGAGTAATTTCCCTTTATTTATTTATTTATTTTTTGTGGCTGGCCTGTATGGAGATTAGAACCCTTGACCTTGGTGTTATAACACCAAACTCTAACCAACTGAGCTAACTGGCCAGCCCCAATATCTTGTTTTTTGGTTTTTGCCTTTAACTCTTAGCTGAGAGCTTTTAATATCAGATGTAGAACTGAAGTACTTTTTCTGCAATTACTTAAACAAATGTATGTACCAGCCAGACTCCAAAAAAAAAGAAATAAATGTGATTCCGTCACCCCCATCCATTAATCAATGATATATATTTATAGATTTTTCTGTTGTGATTGTGCTCTTGGGATAAACCATTTTTCATCATGTTCGTTATACACTATTGACTTTGGAGATCTAATACTGTATCCAGGATTTTCACATCTGTGCTGAAAAGTAAAGAGCTCTCCTTATCTGGTTATAGTATCAAGGTTATACTAGCCTCATAAAATAAATTATCAGCTTTTCCTCTTTTTCTGGTTTCTGAAACAACTTGTGTAACAGGGAATATCCTTCAAAGCTTGGTGGAACTCATTTGTAAAACTATTTGGGCCTGAAGCTTTAGGGGAGGGGTATGAAGGTAAACCTCCTCAATTATCATTTTAATGTTTTAAATAGCATTGGCTATTCAATTTTTCTGATTCTTCTTGTGATAGTTTTGACACTTTTATATTTTTTCTAGAAAGGCACACCTTGTCCAAGATTTAAAAGTTATGGGCCGGCCTGTGGCTCACTCGGGAGAGTGTGGTGCTGATAACACCAAGGCCACGGGTTCGGATCCCATATAGGGATGGCCAGTTAGCTCATTGGCTGAGCGTGGTGCTGACAACACCAAGTCAAGGGTTAAGATCCCCTTACCGGTTATCTTTAAAAAAAAAAAAAAAAAAAGTTATTACCATATATTTGCTTATGATATTTTATTTTTAAAATCTCTGTGGTGGCTGCCCTGTACTGGCCAGCTGCCAAAAAAACCCCAAAAAACC